TTTTTAACTCATTATTGCAATAATTCATAAAAAAAAAAAAGAAATTGCTGCAGAACGCAAATATTATATCTTAATTTTCACCCAAGGGGAAGTGGCTGGAGAAGACGTCTGTGTGAATATGTTGATTTTGCCTGGAGGAGGACATGACGACCATGTACAGATTGACTTGGAGTTTATTGAGTTGTCTATGATATGCTCCTAGACGACTGTTCTTTATGAATGAAGTTATCCATCATCCATCTATCTATCACAAAGACAATATTGACCAACAGTATGGCCTGTTTAACTCAAATGATGTATCATGAAGTTACTTTTAAAGGTCTTTTGTACCACTAAATCTTGAATCAATTTGCAAAACATACTAAATATGTATTGTTTAGTATAAGTTAGAGTTAGATGTAGGAAAACCTTTTCTCCTCTGTGTATTCATGTTATGAGTGTGTCACTGTTTTAACCATAAGGGATAAGCAAACAACTGGGAGTCGTTTGGTTGGATAAAGACCATTCTAAAACAATACAGAAACACAACTTTTTTTTGGTTTTTCTGTCTGCCATCTGCATAATTTGGATACAAAATACTGCCAACTCTTTCTTGAAAGATTTCAATCATACAAACAAAACAAAACTTACGATATATCCCATTCGCAAACATGTCACGTTTTGTTTTGTTTCGTTTCACATTACCACCTTCAGGAAACACTCTGCTTAACTGTCACTGCTCCTGAAATAAAATCATGATAAAGGGCCGAGTTAGAGGAAGTTTTTCTTTTCATCGAATCAAAAGTGGGCCAGGGTTTCTTTGTTCTCTGCTTCGCACTGCCTTTCTAGGATTATTATGTGACGAAGCTGAAGGGTGAAAGGAGAAGCGGCTACTTCATACCAAATCCTTCATTGTGCCATCTTTTGTGTCCTGTCAAACAGCAATGAATGGGAGCGCTGCGTCTTCCTGGAGGCTATGCTCAATTTCCCCATTTCCTAATTCTCCCCACTGCCAATCAGACACCCTGCAGAGCACAACGAGTCAACAATGACAAAGGAGAGGCATCGAAATATGTGCGGTCATCAAAACTCATGTCATGGCCAGAACGAGATTATGAGAGCAGAGACGCTAAGGGATAAATAAAATAATAAAATAGACACCTCAATATTAAAATAGATAGGCCTCATTCTTGCAATTTTTCATAAAAGAAAAAAAGTGGCTGGAGGGGACATCTTTAAGAACATGTTTTGATTGTTTGGATGCACTTTTTAAACTGGGTTACGAACACTGGATTGACAAAGAAAAAATGGTCCAAACATTATAAATAAATAACTGACATCTGTAAATTGAGAGTGTAATACTTTCTTTAACGTACTTCCTTGGATCCGCGCCTCAGAAAGAGTTTTTGGTGTGCTCTACTTCCCACAAACGATTCCCTAAATTAAATATTTGAGTTTTGTTTGTTTTTATGTTCTTGTTTTCAGCAGTCCTCCTCCATCTCGGGTAAAGCTTCAGGGCTCTAACTTTTGCCTCGTTCATATCAAAGTTTGAATCTTAAAATCACATCTCTCAGCATGAACACCTGTTGGAGTGTGTTTAGGGAATATTTCATGAATAATTGATTACTAATATGAGTGGAGATCTTGGAAAACGATAATCTGCAGATGTTAGAAGAGAAGATGCATTTGGAAAGAGCAAAATTAATTATACTTTTCTCGCTTTTTTAATACACTTGGCCCTTTGAAATGCAAAAAAGCACAGGTGAGTGTTAAACAAATAATTAAATAATTTTTTTCTTTGCACATGTTTTTGGACAGTAACCAATTGATAACATAGAGAAACAACATTTGTGATTCTAGATTTTTCAGTAGAAGTGATGTAGATAACTGACACCTAATGGAAAATATCTGTATTCCCATATATGCAAAAAAAAAGTATCCGTTTCTCTTGGCGCATATCCGGCCTAAATATTTGACCAAAACTAAAATAATCTTACCATGATACTTACAAGCCACTGACAAAATGACCATGGGGAATTAAAATATTTGACGGCAGACAGTGGAAAAATAACAATTTCTACACAAACAACATGTGACTCAGACTTTCGAGATCTCTGCTGCCTCTTTGAGACTGAGTAGCTCTGGTCTATATCACTTTCAGTTCCCAAAACACCCTTTACCTTCCCTTATCTCTCCCAGACCGGCCTCCATCCTCCCAGAGCCCTGAGCCTGTGCTGGTGCTGCTGTGATTCAGGCATTGGGCCCATAGTGTGTGGAGAGAGCAGCTCCTCCCCGGCCTCACTGCCCTTTGCCACTGCTATCGCTCTATATAAGAACCAGACCTGCCCGGGACGGCACTTAGCTCACACAGGCTAACAATAACCAGCCGCAGATGTTTACATTAGCGGTGCAGGGGCAGCAGATGCGGTCGCACTCAATAAAACTTGCATCTCCTTCTCTTTGTCCAACATTCCCTGGTCGTGTCTACAGTCTGCGGAGAGACCCAGGGGAGCTCTTTAGATCCGAGGGTGTGACAACTTCACTCCTGCATGCCTTAAACTTGCCTTGTGCTCAGCTCGATCCCACTCCTTTTATTTTCGTCTCTCTTATTCACCCTCAGCTGTGAGTCATCTCATTTTTCCCTACGCACACTCACTGTCACACAAAAATCAAGTCTAATTTTTTTTCAAATGACAGATTTTGACAACTGAGGTTTGCATGAGTGGGGTGTTCGGAAGTGCTTTATTTGTAAAGCTCCTTTCCATTCAGGTATATGTTAGCACACCTGAGTCGTCTTTATTTGATGATCAAAAGAGACACAACCCAGCAGTGGAATTCCAGCAGCGTGAACGGACAAGAATATCTCCAGGAAACACTTCGCAAACAAAGCACAGCTGAAACATCCTTGTGAGAAATTAGAAAATTGCAGGCTCAGGCTTTCTTAGTGTTATTAATTCATGATCTCTATTGACGACTGCAAAAAAAAAACTTTGTATCCAGTCTAAAGACTGGAGAAAAAAAACCTTACACATTACAGACTCACCAAAGGTCTAAATCATCTTTATAACATGAGTCAAGTGCATAGGTCATGAAAAAAGAAATCCAATGATGAAGTGGTGAGAGTTATTAATCTAAAGACAGAGCTTGTATGCCATTTATATAATATTTGTTTTATTTTTTTTCTCAAGAATCATTCAAGAAAGTTTTATGGAAAACATTAAAAGGTATATAGAAGGATGTTCCTACATTTTAGGACTTTTTGAACAAAACTCTCTTCGTCCTATTTGGCGAGCACCTATCACCAGAATAATTGAAAATTGGGAGGACCAATAGTCTTGATGATCCACCCGGAAATAGAAAATCCTCCTATATACCTTTAACATTTACTAACAACACATACTGTGGCTGATCTGCTGCTCTGTTTTAGCTAACAGGAAACCATGATACAATAAACAAACAAGATATTGTGATCAAATATCAAACTGAGGGATTTGCATATACATTATGTGTTACATCCTTCCTTAATAACACATGGATTATATGGGTTGGGTAGCAACGCAAACATGTAAACGGCAGCCCTGTCAGCCTCTCATATAAGAATCCTCCTAAAGCTGGAAAATGTCAAACAGCTTCTTGAGCACAGAGAGAAACTTAATGTGTGGCCCGATATGAGCTCATCCGTCGAGTGACAATAACACTAAGCAGCACATAAACCTCTGACATTAAAACTGCTCTGTGAGTCCTCATTTCTCTTATTGTTAAACGACTCTGGTGCTTGGGTCGACCTATTACATTGGCAAGTTAGCAACGCTAATAGAAGGCAGACAGCAGCAATGTCCCAGGCAGAAAGTATAGCCCTTCAATGGATCGGTGGTTTAGCCAGCGGGCCCGTTTCGGGAAGTCTCAAAAGTGGCAGATCACAATGTAATAAGACGAAGTAGCACAACTTCACACACCTTCAGCAGTTGCACTTTTTATATTTTTCAGCACATTTTTTTAGCATAATAATTGATCCAACACCACCTAGAAAACTCAGAGAAAAGTACAACTCATTTTATTTAACCGTACAACACACATGCATGCTGAGAAGAGGTTTTATGACTCAAATCATTCTATAATAACAGAAACACTTAATGATAGTGTGTAAACAAATAAAATAAAATCACAAATCACAAATTCACTGACCATTCAGGATTAAAACTAATCAATTAATTGAATGAATGATTTGCAAACTAATCAATTACTGAAATAACTATTTTACAAGCTTTTTATGAAGCATTATGAATAAAAGTTAACAAGCTGAACACGTCTCTTTGAGAATTTTTCATAACGCTCAACGCAAACATTCTTGCACTGTATTGTCATTGATTTATATATTACAAATTATGATCGTGGTGATGTTGGTTTTGCAAAAGAGCATCCTTGAATGCCTTTGTTCAGGCTGAGTGCTTCGAACATATTTGTTTGTGGTTAGTTGGTTAAGCATGGTAGAGACGCATTTTCTCAGGCAGGGTAACACAACAGTATCATTATGTGCCCAGTAGGAAGGAACCTCCATTCTCCCACAGCCAAAATGAAGGGGGTTGGTGTGCAGGCTGTGCGCAGGCATGCATATGAAACAAATAAAGGGAATGAATGCAATATCTAGGCACACACGGCATTACAGAGGATGTGAGGGATCCTTAACAAATGTCTGTTGCCCTGCTACAAAACTCTCAATAAATGAAACATCAACAAAGGGGGAGGCCAGAAGCTTAGCCTGCACTTAACAAAAACATCTGATGTGCATTATTCCTGACAATGCACCAGACAGAGGATGAACGACCCGGATTTTAATAGAACGACTTTTCAGTGCTTTGAATAACTTCACCTATGGACAAAAGACTCTGAGGGAGGTAGTTATAAGTCATGCAGAAGGTGACCAGAGAAGATGAATAACATGCATGCATTGCAAAGTAACATTAACACGTTGCAATGCTTCTAGAGTGACCTCTAGTGGACAGAGTGAACACGTCACTTACCTTAATAACATATTTGTGTGGAGGCATCAGAATTTTGCGTTAACCTCTCCAAGACAAATCTTCTCTGAGAAAATCAACAAGGAAAAATGAGCATTAGTGTCAACATTCAGTGAAAAATACATATTCAGAATACATAACAGTTGGTCGTAGTATGCTTCATCATTGTGCCTCTGTCCCACTAATGTTAACTATAGCAAGTGTTATTAGAGAACCTACGGGAACTACAACGTTAACTGTTATCTGGAAAGATTCGACCCATCCAAATGGATCTTTTATTTGTTATAAAAGAGCCGAATGGTCGGTCACCAACGACTTCAATGAAACGTGCAGATGTTGAATGTATAATGAAATGTATCACATACCAGTGCAGACAATGTTTGTTTCTCCCTAAAAAATTAAGAAAACGTGTATATTCTGCATTTCATGCCCCGCCAAACGTTTTGAAACTGCTCAGGCGATTGAAGATGACGTCAAGATAAGATAGAATATAGTTTAATGAAAATATATATATATATCAACATTATGCTTCATAATCACGGCTGCGGTCAATAGTTTGGATTTTTAAAATGTTTATGAAAAATGTTGCTGATAAAATATAAAGCACTTTTCAATGACGTAGTTATGAAGCGACAAAAAACGTATTGAAGGACCTCACGCTACCCCCTGTGTCATGGCAGCTATAGATGTTTCGTGTAGAGCCTGTTTGTAGTACAACCTTTATACCAACCTGTAGCATTTTTTCTTGCGTTTCTATCAAATTTGTATACTCAAACAACAATATTGAAGCTATTAAAAACGTTAAGTAGTTTTCAATGCATACCCATATCAACTAATTTCCATAATATAATAAAATACTATCCGGCTATATTTAGAACACTAGTTTTTCATGATAAGCGAAATGTTTAGGAAAAAGATTCAGCCACTGTATTTTTTTTTACTGGATTAAACCATGGATCTATTGTAATAATAATTAAACACGATTTAAAACGTTCTATGCTGAAGATAACGTTCCAGTGGAGCGAATACTTGTAGTTACTGTGGTCTGCAGTATGTCTCGACTTGAGAAGAAACAACCAATTCGTTGTACGGATTTACCACTGAACAATGCCGATATTTGCCGCAAACTCAATATTTTGAGCGATCTCCTTAAATCGTGTTATGGACCTACAGGCAGACTAAAACACATCCATAACAACGTTGGAGGCCAGGTTGTCACTACATCAGCTTCATCTATCATGTTGCCTGCTTTATCCTCTTCAGAGCCCTTTATAAATATAATTAGGACCTCTATTATTAATCACGTATCTCGTTTTAGTGATTGTGGTCTCTTTGCTGGCATATTGTGCTTGTCTCTTATAAAACAGGCACAACTTTCATGTCTCACAAAGGATGTCTGTCAAAAAGTGAACAAGTATTTACTTGATTTATGTATAAGTTACCTACAATTAGAAGATTGTGCCTGTAAAGTCAGAGTGGGCTTCAACAGCAGCCATTGCCTCATCAGATTAGCTCATAGTGTCATTTCCAGTAAACCAGCATGCATGTTGAGGGAATCAGAAGTTCTTCATATCAGCAGATTGACTGTGCAAGGATTTTTACTCGCTGTCCCCTGTGTTAGCCCTGGATCAGTCAAACTTGGTAGAAGAACAATTCTCACTATTGAAGGCCTGTCAGTGCTGGATTCAGCCATTTTTCCTGGACTATTGCTAGAGACACCTGACTTATCATTTCACCCAGGAACTCTCTCTTGTAAACCCCTGCGAACTATTTTATTTAGTGTATCTCTGGCTGGGGACCTTGCAGAGCTTGGAGAAGGGGCTATTGAAATACACAATAAAGGTGCAGACATTGATGCAGAGATTATGGACCAGCTGCTGAAGATTGGGGAGCAAGTTGTTAAAGATGAAGTGGACCTGTTCCTGTGCCAAAAGGTGATCCACCCAGTTCTGCAGCAATATCTGAGGGACAACAGCATCATCGTGATTGAGAGATTGGGAATTAATTCAATGGAGCCAGTTATTCAGCTTACAGGTAACCTGTTTTTTCCTTTACCTTTTAAATTATACTCATGAAACCGACATGGTGAGGGAAATAAAGCTCTAGGATATTGAATTGTTGTATTTTGTTTTGGTAGACGTCTTTCTTTTTGTTTTCACAGGTTCTCAACCAGTTGCCACACTGCACATTATCCCACCCAGTGCTTATGGAAACATAAAAGAAATTACTATTAAACATTTGGGATCCAAGACAATGCTGCATTTAATTCCAGCTGAGGAGGCTACTGTCTGCACACTCATCCTCTGTCACAGAACTGAGACCATGCTAAATGAGTTAAAGGTAAGTGGAATTATAGCTACAACTTTTGTGAAGAGATGAGATAAATGTTGCAAAATAAAATTTAGCAATAATACTTTCCTTACCCCTTCTTGTTTATTAAGATGGACTTATGAAACAGCATTTATGGTTTTAATGGCTCTACCCAAAACGTTATGCCTGGTATAATAAAAAAGTATATTTTAGGAATTCTGATAGCCTATTTGCACATTTTATTTGGATGGCTTCAACTGCATTACTGGTCAAAAATTAACTAATATTCATCAAAAAGGGTCCACTTTTTGAACTGCTAAAGTATAAAAAAAATGGTGGACTCATTGTCAGTAGTGAAAATAACTTCAGATGCATTATAATTGCATGCACAGTTTGACATTTGTGCATACGAATTAATAAAATCCCTTAATACATGTATGCAATTAAGATATATTGAAATTGCTTTAAATGCTTTTAGGCAGCATGTGAGAAGGCAGATCACGTGCTAAGACTGACGCTAAAAGATCCGTTTGCCCTTTTTGGAGGAGGCTGCTCAGAAACACATCTCGCTGCCTGTATCAGACACAAGGTAAATAGTGTCGAGTCAAAACACTGCAGGAACTACATTAGAACTAATGTGAGGTTCTGTTTTCTAGAGCAAATCCATTGCCATGAACGTCCCGTCGATGCTTGGATGTACGCAGGGGGAGTACTTGCTTGCTGCGGAGGGATTCTGCCGCTCTTTGGACTCTGTGGCAGCTGCTTTGGATCATGATAGTGGGCGTTCTTTGACTGACCTGACTCACGCTCACCACTGGACACTACCCACTGAAGCCACAACAGACGAACTGGACCTAACATTGAGTGCATGTAGGTGTGGGGCGGTGAAACACTGCACAGATCTTAAATTTAGCTTTTTAAACACCAAATGCACAGAGTTCTCTCCTACAGCCGTGAGAGGAGAGAATGTTGTGTTGGATTCCTTCACCGCTAAAGTAAATGGGCTGCAGGTAGCTGTAGAAACGGCAAATCTCGCTCTAGACGTGCAGTTCATAATACAACATACAAACTAGGAAAAAGGAAATACAATTAAAAAGGCAGTTACATTGCTTATATAAAATGTAATAGCTAGAAATATAATAAAAATACTAAAACATTATGAAAAAAATGCATGTTTATTTTACAAGTGTACATTTAAAAACATGTTTTGACTCATTCCGACAAAGTCAAAGAATTTTAAAAAATGAATGGTATCAGTGCCTTTCTAGACATTGGATAGTCGTTGAATTTCTCCTGATAAAACCTATAAGACATAAGAAATATTTAAAATGACATGAGGGTGTAAGATGTATAAGAACATAGTATCATATATTAGATGCAGAATGTCACCTGTGATGGTAGTAGGCTCTTGTACCAAGAAAACACAGACTAAATAGGGCAAATGAAAGCATTGGCAAGGACCAGGTCGCGAGGGCACATCCAAACCACTCCAAAATCTCCCCGAAGTAGTTGGCACCAGACACATACTCAAACAGCCCACCTGGAAAAGTGTAGAAAAGTCACTCACTAAAGCTCCATAAAAAGTTAAGATTCACCAAGCTGTGATTTTGTTTACCTCGAGGAATTCTGTAAACAACTTCACCTGGTTTCCTCAGGTTACGGAGAATATTGTCACTGTGTACATTTACAGCCAGCCCAATGTAGAACAATACTAATCCTAAAGTCAAATAAGTGCTGATGTCAGATTTAAAATTTTACAATGATGAAGAAATAGAAATTATTTGCGTACATACCCGTTTTAAAGTAAACATTTGAAGTCCATTCCTCGCCAAACTGAGCACAGTGCAGCAGGTAGTGGCCTTGGAGGAATCCGTTCAATGATGAGAACAGACCCGATACCATGACCATACCCACTGGACAAGGTCGTCCTTTGGTGAAGAAGGAGTACACAAATGACCTGGGAGAGTGCAATAATGTCATAACTTAAGGCAATTTTTAGGCTTTTTTTTGTTATTCTTCATGCCCTCCGTGAATTTAATAACAGTTACTTGGTACATTCACAATCAGCTCTTCTTAGAGATTGTTTTATTTGAATTAGTATAGCTATTGTTCACTTATCTTGTGCAGTGTGCTCCTCATTCCTAATGTTCAGTTACTTGTGATCATGCAACACTGAAATTTCCTAGCTGTGGTAATAAAGGATCTTGATACTGATTTTGCTGGATATGTGCAGGCCTGATGAAGAAATGATTTAGTCCAGTTCTAGTCCAGGGATAGTATCCAAGCCAATCCACTTTATATAGCACATTTTATAAAACAAGTTTCCAAAGTGCTGCAGAGATAAAATCAACACATTTAAATATGTGCAAAGTAAAAATCACACAAATTTAATAAAAACTATAAAATACCAGTAAACTATAAACATGTGATAAAAACAATAAAATACTAGTATGGGGTTTGGTTCCTCCCTGTGTAGATCTACGAATGACCCCTCAATACAGAATGGTTATGAGGACCTTTGTTTATTGACATAAATGGGTTCCGTGGCCTTACCGTTGAAAGTAATGAAGACAGAAGGTCCCCAGGAGCAGAGTTTGACCCAGGCTGGATGAGGCGCTGTGAGACAACATAATGAGGATCAGAGGGACTAGGAATGAGGGGACCTCCAGGAACAACCAGGCCAATTTGGCCGGGACCATCCTGGTAGGACCCAAGGGCACCATGTGTCGCCCGTATGCAGTCTGCCCCACTTTGTGAAGAAGGAGTTGTCCCACAGCAGCCAGGAGCATCACATAGGTCAGCAGGTTCACTGAGTACTGGGAGCAATACATGTTGTTTGCCTGTAGCTCCGGGTCAGTAAGAAAATCCATCGTCTCCTTCCTAATATAGTTTAGAGCAATCCCACACACCTGCTGTGGGTGTCTCCCTCTGACTCCTGATTGAGCCGCCAGCCACACATCGTGTCAAACCGATGGGCGGGGTCACACAGCCTGGGCGAGCTGAGTGAACTAAAGCAGGAAAGAGAGCCACACGTGGATAGAGAAAACAAGAGTACATTGAATATAAGACTTAAACGTGACAATAATATGCTGTATATGTCCATGTGCAACGGTGAGAAAAGGCACAATAGCACAGTGTCATGCTTAACTAGTTTCTTTTAACTTAGTGGTCAAGCGGGCCCAAAGTATTGTAGCCAGATGTAAAATGTAACAGCTTTCCATTCCACTCCAATGGTCTTTTTTGCTGCAACAGAGCCACTCAAGATGGCTACAATACCAAAGAGAAGCATTTAACATTGTGCGCTGCTGTTAATTCTGCCTACTCTTCAAAACCTGAAAATGCTATTGCAACTTGTAGAAAACTTTGAAAAGTGATCGTCTTACTATGTAGTAGTATCCATTTTTATTTGACCATTACTACCATACCATCATTGGCCTGTCAGTTAGCTCTTTATTTTTGGATAGCAACAAAAAACCGCAATGAGGCTTAATATCTTAAGAATTGTTGGTCTTTTTTGTGATTTGGCAAATTGTTGCCTATAATTCTAGCAGTAGCAAATATTGTCACTGAATATGAATCAAATCTACAGGATGCTACAAGTGGGTGTACCACAGATTTTTTTCTATAATCTTTCAGCTTTACCATATAATATTTTAAACAAAACTTAATACATTGGAAGTAATATGTGTGATGTTTTTAGTTTTACATAGCAGGGGTTAGTAAGATAAAATCAACACATTTAAATATGCGCAAAGTAAAAATCACACATTTAATAAAAACAATAAAATACCAGTAAACTATAAACATGTGATAAAAAAGGCTGATTAACATTTCAAAGTGTTACGGAAACGTAGGTGTAGACCAATCAGAAAGGAAGGGGGAGGAGCTTGCGTCGTTTTTTTCAAATCAAGTACCTCTCTGTCTTTCTTTCTGACAAACTCCAGACAATCACTGTGTATTTACACACCATTACGCTCAGGCCATTACCAACTGCTAGTGATGTTTCAGCTCTGTAGGTCTGAACCTGTGATCAGGAGAGCATAAAACATGGAGAAATTAACCACCACCTCACATGAAAACGAAGACGAAATTCTAACTTTTTTGCGATGATTGTAGAACTTCAATCCGTCCCGATGGAGAAATGACATGGTAGAAGTCTGTGCGATGAAAAACCAGGGACTAGTACTGTTGTGGCAATTCTTAATAGTGTCTTTGCCACTGTAAGCAGCCTGGGCTATGGCTTTAGCTTGACTTGTGTTCTGGTGAAAAAAAAAAAAAAGAAACAAAAATCGATGACCAGACTTACAGAATAACGGTGAGGTTGTTTTAATGAGGCACAGGTTTCAGTCGACAGGTAACAGGTCAAATTCCACATACAAGTTTCCACAAAAAGTTACACAATCAAAAAACTGTTGGGCCTCAACCCAGGCCAGCTTCCACGCTACCACACTGCCTCACTGGTTCCCCCTGGTGTACATAAAAAGAACTGCATCATACCTGGCCCCACCCCAACACACACAAAATAAAGCATATTAACTTAAACTTAGCATTTGTTCTTTTTTTTTGATAGGAAACAAAAACGGCCTTAACAATCCCGGCCCCTAATTATAAGGTCTTATAATTACCATAACAACATAAACACTGTACATTTTTTTTTTTTTTTGGTATGCTCACAACGTCCATTATGGCAATTCTTGTAATGCGTCATCATAAGTTCATGCCTGTGACTTCAGCAAAAGGCATAATTTATCCACTGGTCTTTCAAGTATATTTGTTTTTGTCTTCACCAGTACTCGTCGTACCAATCCTTTGTCATCTGAAATTGTTTTCAGTATTCTTCCAAGCAACCAGGAATTTCTTGGTGCGTTTTCATCAAGAATCAGCACAACATCATCTGGCGCAAGATTTTGTTTTGCTTTGGTCCACTTTTGTCTTTGTTGAAGGCTAGGTAGGTACTCTCTTACCCACCGCTTCCAAAACAAGTCTGCCATATATTGTGTCTGTTTCCATCTGCGCCGTGAATAGGAGTCATTGATGCTGAACAGACCTGGAGGCAGCACTGGTTGTTTCTTTAAGAGAAGCAGGTGATTTGGTGTGAGGGGCTCCAAGTCATTTGGGTCATCCGAAGGTGTGGTTATCGGTCTGTCATTGATTATGGCTTCAACCTCGCAGAAAAGTGTCTGTAGGCATTCATCATCAACGCTTTGTTGTTGAAGGACAGACTTCAGGATTTTCTTAACCAGCTTTACCTGGCTTTCCCATACGCCACCAAAATGTGCTCCTGCAGGGGGGTTAAAGATCCATTTAATGCCTTTGTTTGACAAGACGTTTTGAATCTTTTCTTTGTCTATATCACGGAGTGATTCACGGAGCTCTCTTTCGGCTCCCACCATATTCGTGCCATTATCAGACCTGATGAGTTCTACTTGCCCCCTTCTGCACATGAAACGTCTAATTCCATTTATGCATGAATCAGTGTCCATAGAATGGGCAACTTCGATATGCAGAGCTCTGGTTGTCAAACAAGTAAACAACATTCCGTACCTTTTTACAAGGCTTCTTCCTCTCTTTATTTCATACGGTCCGAAATAGTCAAGGCCCACGCTTGTAAAAGGTGGTTTGTCAGGAAGCACTCTTTCGGAGGGAAGATCAGACATTTTTTGTTCTTGAACTTTTGCATGATGTTTTCTGCACGTAACACAATGAGACAGGAGCCTTCTGACTGCAGAGTTTGCAGCAGGGATCCAATAGCGCTGGCGAAGGCGAGAGAGCATGTAATTACGTCCAGAGTGTCCTGTTCTTTCATGTATGTCTTGCAGTAATAGCGAAGTGACATGGTGGTGTTTTGGGAGTATAGATGGGTGCTTTTCCTCTTCTGGCAAAGCAGACCGGCTAAGACGCCCCCCAACCCTCAGTACGTCATCCTGCAAGATAGGGTCAAGTTTGTAAATTGAGCTTTTTCTTGACACTTCGGCATTACCACTTTGCAAAGCCAGACTTTCGTCTTTGAAGGAAACAAGTTGACAATGACGTACCGCAGCCTTTTCAGCTCTTTTTAGCTCATCCACAGTTAGTGGCACACGGAGTATTTTATCACGTTTCCTTCGAGCTCTGGTTTGTCTTGAAGCAGAGTCCTTTACTTTGCCCTTCTGTATAGAAGCAAGCAAGTAGTCTTTAACTCTGAGAATCCAGGCAATAGCTCTTCTGAGACGTGTCCAACTTGAGTAATGACAAATAAGCTTTTCCACAGAGCAGCCGTGTGTAGACGCCTGTACAGCATTAACTTTCACTTTCCGCACTTCAGTGTCGTCTTCGGCGAGTGTAAAGCGTTCAGCAGTGTCCCTCTTTCGATTAATGTCCTTCAGAAAGGAAGGCCCTTCAAACCACGTGGAGCTATTCAGGAATTGGCGGACTGTCAACCCGCGTGATGCAAAATCAGCTGGATTGATTTTTGTGTTCACATGGTTCCACTGATCAAGACCTGTTGCGTCTTTAATGATAGCAATTCTGTTAGAGACAAAAGTTTTTAATCTCAGTTCATCATTTGCTATATATTTTAACACTGCCGTGCTATCTGTCCAAAAGGCGGAGGGTTGAAGACTTAATGTGAGTTCTCTTCTCAAAATCTTGTCCATATTGACTGCCAGTGCAGCTGCTGTTACTTCCATGCGTGGAATTGTGGTTGCTTTAAGTGGAGCGACTCTGGACTTTCCCATCATAAACGCACAGTGAACATGCCCCTCTTCATTTGTTAATTTTAAGTAGGACACTGATCCATATCCACTTTCACTGGCATCTGAAAAGTGGTTGAGCTGAGCAGATGTGATTTGTCCAAAGTTTGTAGGTTTTATGCATCTTGGTATTTTAAAGTTGCATAGCTCAGACAATTGACTCAGCCAGTCAGACCACAAATGAACGAGGTGTAATGGCATGTCTTCATCCCAGGACAGTTTGTCTTTAGAGAGCTTCTGGAAAATGTTCTTAGCAGGAAGGACCACTGGAGAAAGGAAGCCCAGCGGGTCATATATTGAGCTTACGATTGATAGGACTCCTCTTCTTGTATCTGGTCTTTGTTTTATGCTGACACTGAATGTGAAAGTGTCTGTGTTTTCACACCAGAGCACTCCAAGGGCTCTCTCAATTGGAAGTGCGTCTTTCGTAAGATCCAGATTCTTTATTTCTTTGGCTCTTTCCTGTTCAGGGATTGTTTGTAATAGAGCCCGACTGTTACTCGTCCACTTGTTGAGATTAAATCCTCCTGATGCACATAGCTTAGTAAGGTTTTCTTTGAGCGAGATAGCATCTTCCTCACTTTTAACTGATTTTAAAGCATCATCAACGTAAAAATTTCTCATCACTGTGTCCACGATTTCGCGCGATGAATTTGTTCTATTATCTTCTGCTGTTTTTCGAAGGGCGTAATTGGCACAGCTGGCCGATGAAGTGGCCCCAAAAAGATGAACAACCATTTTGTATTCTGTGAGTGGCTGTGTAAGGTCCCCTTCTGGCCACCACAAGAATCGCAATAAGTCAGTGTCTTCATCAGGAACCCTGACTTGATGGTACATTGCTTCAATGTCTGCCATTATTGCCACATTTTCCTCCCTGAAGCGAGTAAGTACTCCAACAACTGAGTTAGTGAGGTCTGGGCCTTGCATGAGTACTTTGTTGAGAGAAACACCCTGAAAGCTAGCACCACAGTCAAATACAACTCTGAGTTTTTTCTTTTGGGGATGATGTACGCCATGGTGTGGTATATACCAAAGCTTTCCATCTTCTCTGCAGAGCTGTGACTCTTGGACTTTAACAGCATATCCTTTTCTGATCATATCTCCCATGTACTCTGTGTATTCTTTGTGAAATAGAGTGT